CATCTGCCCGTTGCCCTTCTGCAGTGTCACGGTTTTCCAAAGATTCCCACATCTGCCGGTTGCCCTTCTGCATTGTCACGGTTTTCCAAAGATTCCCACAGCTGCCCGTTGCCCTTCTGCACTGTCACGGTTTTCCACAGCTGCCCGTTGCCCTTCTGCACTGTCACTCCCTCGCGCTGCTCGCCTGCTCTGGGCCGCAGGAGCTGACTGGAAGGATGGATGGCAACGCTGGCTTCCCTTGTCCTCTGACCTCTGGTTTGAGCCAGCCAGGAGGGAGTAGAGAGTAGAGGGAGGAAGAGGATGAAGGCAGTTTGAAAGGAACGAAGTATCATTCCTTTCTCCCCAAGAGTTGTCCCTGGGTGATACAAATGACGAATACATTGCGGATTTGAGCCACCCAGAAACCCCTTGGGAGAAAGGGCTAGCAATCTACTTTCCAAACTCAGCCATTGAAAGCCCTCTAGAGCACAGGGCTGTTCTCCCACACAGTCATGTGCCCCAAAAGGACTCAGTCCCAACTGGTTTGGTTTCGGTTTTCTGCTCAAAAACTTTTCCAAAGCTAATCGTTTCCTTCCACTTAAGCTCAGATCCTGTCAGGTGGCCCTTTCATCATGCAGCTCTATGTCCAGGTCATGACACCTACTCCACCCTCCTATTGGTTTCCCCTTAGGAGTCACTTTAACACTTGAGGTACTACTCTGCCTTGTGATTGCCCTTCTATTCTCCCTGAAATCTAGTAACTAGTCCCTTCATTAAACTTGGCTCAAATCATTATGAGGGAGCCATATGTTTTCTGCCTTGACTAATGCTCCCTCTCATTCCTTGCCATAGCATATTATCACTCATAGCAACCCTACTCGGTGGGGCAGAACTCCCCCTGTGAGTTTCCAAGACTGTAACTCTTTAGTAGAAAGCCTCATATTTCACTTGTGGAGCAGCTGGTGGTTTTGAACTTCTGACTTTGTGGTTAGTGGTCCAACACATAACCCACCAGGTCAAACTAATTAACCAAGGCCCCCATCATCTTCTGGCTATCCAACTTGGTCTCCCATTACCAATGACTCCACTACTATTACCACTGAACTTCCTCACTACACAGAGCTTCTGATAGCAAGACTTCCCCACTGGCTCAAATAACCTGACTTCTCCAGGAAACCTTCAAAAATCCTATTCTTCAGTCACGCTCCAGGTTTAACCCAACCTCCCCATGCTTTGAACGTTAAAACATATTGGAAACTTACATTTTATTCAACACGCCCTTGCTCTACTGTGTTGGCCTAAGAAAGTGTAAATCCTCAATGGCAGGGGTTGTTTGATACTTCCCCACTGGTTACACAAGACTCAACAACGTCCTCATGTATTTTATTAATTGACTCTGTCTATCCAAACACTTTCTTACACCTTTTTACAAGTTACCACCAGGAACACATATGTGACTTTTGAAAATGTTAGGACTAAAATATTTTCCCTTGTTCATAATATACCAAGATATTGAGTCCTCTGATTTAAATATAGGATAATTATTTATTATAAAACACTATCAAGAATTCTATTTTTTTTTAAAGTACAGGCCATCCATAAATCAAAAACTCAACAGTGTAGAGCAAGACAAAATAGAGAAACATTAAAAGTTACTAGAAGAAATTGTCCTGACCAGAAAGTGAAAGAAATGGAATCATTCCACCCACTTCCATACCTGCCAGCATTGCAGGAAGAAAGAAAGGCGCAAAAGATATTTGACATCAGCTACAATTAGCAGGTTGTTAAGAAAAAAAAAAACTTACTTGGAAACTTGGGACTTTTCCAAGAAGCCAAGAGAGAAATTTTTCTCCGCTGACTAGCTCATGACTCTGCCAATTTGAAATGACTTTAAAATAAAAGACAAAGGAATGGCTGAGGGACTTCGCTTCTTCAATTGGAGCTCTGCTGTAATTGATGGTGTATATCACCTGTCCTGTGACAGGGGCACACTTAATAGCAAATTATATGGAGACAGTGTCCAGCATGAATCCTACACCAAGTGGGCAGAAACTAATGCAATACCTAATGCTTTAATAACTACCCTTCTTGGTCATTTTCTTTCCCCCAGGAGGTGAAAGAGGAGGCTAACTTAATGATGGAGGAAAGGAACTCGTATTAGAAAAAAAAAGGTTCATCGTGTAAAAGAAAGAAAGATGCTTAAGTTATAAATGATATGATTAATATAATGATAGTTTGCCTATTACCTGTAGAATTCTTTGTTAATCACATAGTATAATACTGGCAAATGGACTCAAAACATGCCTAGGTTCTCAAAGATAGCACAGGATCAGGCAATATTTGGGGGTGAGTACATAATGTCCCCAGGCATCAGCTCTAACTCAAAAGCTCATAATGGCAGCAAGAAAACAAGAAGAGATGATTCCACATTTCACCATTGAGTCTCAGTTTATATGTGTCCTTGTGCACCAAGATGGTTGTCTGTACTTTCAGTTGACAGTCTTTCTGGTTGATGTCATTAGCCACCACAGTTTAAGGCTGATCTAGATGATGAGGCAACAACATGGAATTTAGCCATTCCCAAGACTCTCATCGTGAAACAACATGATCAAATATCATAGTTAACTGTTACAATATTGAAATTTCAACAGCTATCCCTACCGTGATTACTTTCTAAATAAATCAGACCAGAATTGACCAATATATGGAGTCAGCTCCATAACAATGGCTTTAGATCTACTCCCCAGAATATCTTCCAGATTGCCTCTCCATGGCACTGAAAACCTTTCCCCAAACTTTCTGACTGGTCCCCAATGGAGGCAAACAAAATAAACAATATTGTGTGCAGAAAGAGTTCCATATACCTATATTGCCAGAAAAATACTACTTCTCTCTCACTGCCTTAACCACAAAATTACTTAATGTTACTTAAAGTTACTTAATGACTCTCTGGATTTACAGGATCAAGGGCCTGAGATTTCAGTGAAACTATACAAATCTTCAAAAAGTTCTTGGAGTAATGGAATTAAAAGAGAATAGGATTTTTCCCTTTTTGAAGACCCTTCATGAATTGTCATAGAATATAACATCAATTCATCTTTACTTTGGCAAGGATGCCAAAAGTGCAACGAAACCCTAAAACACCAACCCGCAAAGCCCAGCGGTCCCTTCTACCATGTGCAATCCGGAGCTGCACAAAGCCCAACGGTCCCTTCTACCATGTGCAGTCCGGAGCTGCACAAAGCCTAGATGCTTGTGGAAATCCCTGAACTCAGCTGGGACCTCTTTCTGTGTCACTTGTTGGATCCTTCTTTGACAAGAATATACTTGAAAATCACCACTATAATTAAAAAACATAGCTAAAAGGGTTTTTATATGCTTTATCTCTATTCAGTAGAGGAAATTTTAAGTGTGTTTCTCCTATTGTCATAGGTTTGTTTCTCATCATCCCTTCTTTTTATATTTCATTGATAGAAAAGATGAAATAATAACAGTGGAAACATTGGAAAGTCCTGGTGAGATCCCTGTACTTTCAACAGGTAATCTTAGATCTCTTCAATTAGTCCGCTTCTGGATCTTTTCCAAATAATTATGAACGCACATCATTTACTAAGAAATCTCTATTAAAATTCACAATTTAAATATAATATCACAAGCTAAGTTGTATTTCTGACCTCATAAAATAATTGGTACTCACTGTAAAACTTGAAAATTGTAGAAAAGAATTCTAAAGGTAAAACAAACTCCCTCGTTATTCTACAACTGGAAGCAACCATTACCAACATTTCTGCCTATTTCTTTAGTCTTTCTTCTATTTTGACACAAAGGTAAATCAAAAAGTACTGTTACAGAGTCATAGAAATTTCATTAAAACAAAAACATCAAAATGTGCTGCTATGGTTCCTCCATCCAGGCATATTCACGTTTAAAGCTGGTGTTTTGGCCTCTCTAGCCTTCACCTAAGAATTCATCACTCTGGGTGAGGAAAGCTGATGATGCCCAGGTATCAAAAGATACAGTGTCTGGGGTCTTAAAGGTTTAAAGATAAATAAGCAGCCATCTAGCTCGGAAGCATCAAAGCCCACATGGAAGAAGCACACCAGCCTGTGTGACCATGAGGTATAAAAGGGATCAGGTATCAGGCATCAAAGAGCAAAAAATCGTATCAGTGGGTGCCCACCTTCCTGATATGATCACTGAAGACAAATGTGTGCATAAGCAAATGAGGTGAAGAAAGCTGATGATGCCCAGCTATCAAAAGATAAAGCATCTGGGGTGTGGAGGAAGGTCAGATGCTCACAGACATCCTCCCTGCAGGCAATTGCATGTATGCCCCTAGACCACCCTCTTCCACTACTGTATAACCTATAGTGCAACCCCTTCCTGTGATGTGTGTCTTTACCTGTAATTAGTGGGCTTGCACGCCCCAAAGGTATATAGGCCTGGGTTAGCAATAGAGAGCTCTCTTGCTCCCTCACTTGCTTGGCTCCCCCTCTTCTCTCCCATGCTCAATCCCCTGTTCCCTTTGCCCTCCTTCCCTTCCCCCTCTCTCCACGTGGAACACCAAGGGGGGCTGAGGTGAGCATGCTACCATGAAATGTGTCTGACTTGATTTAGTTCTATATTTCTCTTCTATCTCTTGTGCTCTCTATGACTTTACTATAATCTTTACTTATTACTGCTGTATAATTGCGCCTACCAGACCCGTAATGAAATGTTAGTGGCTGGCTTCCCCTGACACTGGGGTCTTAAAGGCTTGAAGATAAACAAGCGGTCATCTAGCTCAGAAGCAATAAAGCCCACATGGAAGAAGCACACCAGCCTGTGAGACCATGAGGTGTTGAAGGGATCCGGTATCAGGCATCTAAGAACAAAAAATCACATCATTGTAAATGAGGGTGAGTGCAGAGTGGAGACCCAAAGCCCATCTGCAGGCAACTGGACACGCTCTTACAGAAGGGTCACGCAGAGGATACAAGACAGAGTGCAGTGTAGCAACGATGAAACATACAACTTTCCTCTAGTTCTTAAATGCTTCCTCACTCCCACCACACTATCATGATCCCAAGTCTACCTTACAAATTTGCTAGACCAGAGGATGTACATTGGTACAGATAGGAACTGGAAACACAGGGAATCCAGGACAGATGATCCCTTCAGGACCAGTGGTGAGAGTTCGGGAGGAGGGTGGAGGGAGGGTGGGTTGGAAAGGGGGAACCAATTACAGGGATCTACATATAACCTCCTCCCTGGGGGACGAACAACAGAAAAGTGGGTGAAGGGAGACGTCGGGCAGTGTAAGATATGACAAAATAATAATAATTTATAAATTATCAAGGGTTCATTAGGGAGGGGGGCACTGGGAGGGAGGGGGAAAAATGAGTAGCTAATGCAAAGGGCTCAAGTAGAAAGCAAATGTTTTGAGAATGATGATGGCAACAAATGGGCTTGACACAATGGATGTATGTAGGGATTGTGATAAGAGTTGTACGAGTCCCCAATAACATGGTTAAAAAAAAAAAAAGAATTCATCACTCTGATTTGTACTATATCAAAATGGAAGCTTTGACATGAAGTTTCCACTTAACATAAAGATTATTGTATACCTGTATTAAAACATCTTCAAATAATCAATAGCTTCGAACATTCAATGTAAATATTGCCAGTTTAACCATTTCATAGTTATTAAAGATTTTATACATTACAAAGAAAGCTTTAATCAACAGATTTAAATATAAATCTTTTTCAAATCACTGTTAGAGATCTTTTTCAAAATAGATTCTGAAATCATAGTATTAATTTTTAAGACTCTTAATACAGATTGCCAGATTTATTTTCCAAAAACTATAATTTAATTAGCTCACCACTCATAAAGACAAAAACCTGCCACATGGCACTCTGGCCAATATTGAATGCTACTCTGTGATTTAATGTTTGCCAAAGAGGAAAGAAAATGTATTGTTCTTGTTGTTGTTTTGGCTCATTTTCACTCAGTGCTTGAAATTTCTCTTGTCCACATTTTTCTCTTGTAGTCTTGCTTTTTCCCCATAAAATTATAAAAATACTTAAAATGTATAAGATAAACTATTAATCATTTGGAGCAGTATGTTCCACAATTTTTAATTTGATTCTTAAGTAGGTAAATAATACTATAAGAAATAAAGTTATGATTACTTAAAATCTAGAAACAGAAAGTGGAAATTTTTTAAACAAATGATATTATTTTCCTTTTTCTTTATTTACCACCAACCTTCAGAGAAAGCAGGTGTGGCTATTTTTAATATCTCTCCTAAGCGCATCTGATTTTTTTTCCTAAATTGACTTTTCACTAATAATAAAATCGGCCTAGTCCAGTTTTCATGAACAAAACCTTCATGGCAAAACACATTCTTTGACAATAAATAAGTCATAGTCAGTTAAAAGTTTACCACTGACAGAATATTAAATCTGATTCTAAAAAGTATTATCTACAGTAGGAAATTACAAAGAAAGATGCTTCAACTAAATCCATTTAAGGATTGGAAAACAATCAACATTAATGAGAGAATTTAAATTTATATTTCTATTTTAGAAAACAAAAGCTAATATCTTTCAGCTAATGAAAATATCTGTAATAAATTTAAATCTAGTAAGGTAATTTGGTAAAAATGAAAGTTAATTCTTCTACACAAACCATTTCCTGTTCTTCACAGAAATTTTGTGGGACAGGTTAGCAAATAATGTGATATAGTAAATGTAGTACAATAGCATCATTCAATCTTTGCGTTCCCGTAATAAATGTTTCAGAATTTCCACCAATGTTCCAATAACACCTGAGATTTCCATCCATGCACAATTACTTCTTCAACTTTGCTATTCCCAAAATGCAGCAGCAAAAAGAGCTGCATGATTCTAACGGAAGCATGTAAGCATGTAAGACTGCTCGGCGACTTACAACAAAGGAGTGGGAAACTGTCCTGAGCAGTACAGTCAGGGCCACCCTCAAGTCTGTCCTTGAAAAACTCCCTTCTCACGTTCCTCACGCACCTCTTCACTCCTAGAGTCCCTTCTAATGTAATTATTGAGGTTTTTATATGTACGATGGAATACAGAAGTTTGCAATTTTAAAATTCAAGTTTCCATATATTCCATCCAAGCCTTTAATGCTTAAAATACAAATGTATGGAAATGAAGTCAGATATTTACTGTAACTGAATTTGTCGGATCTTTTCCCAAGATTGGGTTTGGGTAGGAAAAAGGTACTGATCACTTTAGATATGCAAGAGGAATCAGAAATTGTCAAAGAGGGGCTAATTGTAGTAGAAGATTAGGCTAGCGTGTCTAACAATGGTTCTTATAACCAGGTTTTTAAATAGCTTTAATAATGATCATTTCTCCTTTCATGACAACGTAATGGAAGAAAAAACAATGAAAAAAGAAAATACAAGGAACCTCAATAAAAATCCAATTATTGGTTGAACAGAGAAAGAAAGAAAACACCATGACTTGGGTGCGATGCACCTTAGCCACTACAGTGACATCTTTGCTTTTTAAGGTTTTAAAGATTTTTAAAGAACTTTCGCTTTTTATAGAAGATGTATCCAGTGCTAAAGACCTTTATTTGGAAGGCCAATGAGGGAAATGAACAACAGTTCAAGCAGGGAGTGTCTTAATCAGAGTTGTACTTCAGGAAGAGGGATTTGATCCTGGCCTGCAAAATGAATGAGAACTAAGTGGATCTTTACCTGTAACTAAGTTCTCCTGTCTCCTTCTTGACAACTTCTTCAGTGTATTCACTTCTCTCCATGCCTCTTTTGAGTACTGAGTTAAATTGTAATATTAACATAAAAAAACCTGAAAACTTTGTTTAGTATACTAGCTAATCACATTTTTTAACTTAACAAAAAATGTAATATTAACAGTTTATCCATAAAACATTAAATTGCCTATATACCAAAAATCAAACTCATTACCATCAATGAAGTCAAGTCTGACTCATAGACCCCAGAGGACAGAGTACAACTGCCCTCAGGGTTTCCAAGATTCTAAATCCTTTACAGAAGTAAACAGCCTCATCTTTCTCCTGAGGAGCAGCCTGTGGTTTTGCCCTGCTGACCTTGCAGCTAGCAGCCCTGAGAGTCCAGTAAAATTTAGGGTACAGAACACATCCATCCCAATTGCCTACAATAGGATGTTCAACTAAAGCTCTGAGAGGAAACGCCAGAGATCATATCCTTTGAGATTCTGGTGTGCCACTGAGTATGTTTACAAAAAACAAACAAAAAAAACCACCTACTCTCCAAAAATGATTCTAATGCATATTCCTGAAAACATTCACTGGGATGCACAAGTCCGGCCCCAGTACCACTACTGCAAAACCCCTCACAGCAGCGCCACATGCTTCTTCGGAAGCACTCACTCACTCACTGCCATCCAGGAGATACCAACACATCACAACCCTGTAGGGCAGATTCGTTTTGTTATATTCTGCATTTTAAAGCAGGAAAATGTTTATTTTAATCTACTAAATAAATTAATAGATTCTGTTTGGGCCCAACTAATGTAGAAATGTGAAAAAAAATCTGGCTAAATAAATACCAATTAGATATAACATTTTTGCATGACCATTTTATTAAATAATAATTTGTTTAAAAATATAAATGAGATCTAAGAGCCCCCCAAAAGTATTTTTAAAATAAATAAAAATATAAATATAAATGAAGTTTTATTACAATGATGCTTGTTTCTTTACTTGGATACAGGATAGACTTCTTTTTATAGAGATCTTTAAATATCAAAACAGTTGTCATATATGAGTATCTGGAATAGTCTAAAAGGGGTAGAATTGATAGCCTCTCCATAATCTCTCAGCTCTTGAATTATCTTTTAAGATCTTCTTGTTGGGGGGTTCTTACAGCTCTTATAACAATCCATACGTTAATTGTATCAGGCATAGTTATACATATGTTGCCATCATAATTTTCTAAACATTTACTTTCTATTTGAGCCCTTGGAAACAGCTTCTTTTTTTACCCTGCCTTCCACCTCGTGACCCCTTGATTAATTATAAAGTATTATTATTTTCATATCTTAAGTGACTGCTCTATCCCTTCCCCCTAAGTTTCTTCCCCCCTACTCTCCCCACCTTCCCGCTACCCTCCTGGTATCCCTACTCCCATTTCTGTTCCTGAGGAGTTTATCTGGCCTGGATTCTGTGTGTCCTGTGCTCTATCTGCACGTGTGGACATGCTCCGGCTCAGGCCACAGTGAAAGACAGGATTGGGGTCTTGATAGTGGAACCAGAGGAATATTGTGTGTTACATCATTGCTATACTTCATCCTGTTTGACTCATCCCTTCTTTGCAACCGTTCTGTGAGATGTCCTATTGTCTACAGTTGAGTTTTGGGTCTCTGCTCCAACCTCCCTCGTTCTCAACAATATGTTTTGTTTGTTTCTATGTTTTAAGTCTTCTGATGCCTGTTACCTGATCCCAAAGACACCTCACAGTCGTAGAGGCTGGTGCGCTTTTTTTTTTTTTTGGTGTGCTTCTTCCATGTGAGCTTGTTGCTTCTGAGCTAAATGGCCGCTTGTTTAACTTCAAGCCTTTAAGAATTCAGATGCTATATCCTTTGATAGCCAGGCACTATCAGCTTTCTTCACCACATTTGCTTGTGCACCCATTTTGTCTTCAGGGATCATACCGGGAGGGTGTCAGCTCTTGAATTTTATGATTAAAATTTTAAATGCTGGGGAGTGGGGAGCCAACAACGAGGGGTACAAGAGAATAGTAAGTGTTCTATAATGGCAAAGAGTGTGTGGCTTCTCTCAACATCTTTGATCAATTAAATTGTATCTGAGAGGAATTATTGAAATAGGAATGATGGGTAAACATAACTGTTGGATAGAAGAAAATATATATTATGTACATGTGTATATAAATATATTTGTGTATGTGTGTGTGTGTATGTAATAAGGAAGCAGATGAACTTTGGCCTTCTACCAAATTCTTGCCTCAGTACAAGAACAGTTTGTTCTAACAATGTGGCATTGTATGATATCCATCTTCCTGACACAATTACTGAAGACAAAATGGGTGTATAAGCAAATATGGTGAGGAAAGCTGATGGTGCCCAGCTACCAAAAGGTATAGCTTCTGAGATCTTAAAGGCTTATAATTCAGCAAGAATCCTTCTAACAGGTAAGCAACAAACTCCGCATGGAAGAAGCACACCAACCTGTGTGATCATGAGGTGTGGACGGGAAGAGATATCAGACGCTCAAAAACACAAAACCATCTCAATGTGAAGGGACATGGGTGCAATAGGGACCCAAAGCTCATCTGTAAAGTAAATGGACAATCCCTCTCAGAAAGAGCACACAAACAGACGATAAATCCAGGGCGTGGGATAGGACTGATGAACCAAATAAATATCTTCTAGTTCCTCAATATTTCATCATGTTAGATTCATGCATGCTCATTTGTATATGTAAGATTGTTCGGTACATAAATGTCAAGATAAATAACCCTTCAGAAACAGCAATAGGAGTAAAGTTTCCCTGAGGGTATAGGAAGAGCTGGGGGGGTCGGGGTAGAGGGGGACCGACAGCATCGATGATTGTATAACTCCTCTCAAGGGGACTGAACAACAAAATTGTATGTGAATGGATATAGAGGATTATGTAAGATATGTCAATAAAACTTCACTAGTACAAAAATAAAATAATTTAATACCTCAATAATTGCTAAAGCAATCTAAATTGCAAAGATGCAGGTAGTATTTTTTTTAATTTTTTACTGGGGCTCTTACAGCTCTTATAAAAATCCATAATATCCATTGTGTCAAGCACATTTGTACTTATGTTGCCATCATCATTTAAAACGTTTTCTTTCTACTTGAGCCCTTAGTATCAGCTCCTCATTTTTTTCCTCCCTCCTCACCCTCCCTCCCTCATAAACTCTTGATAAATTATAAATTATTATAATTTCACCCATGTTTCTGTTGTTCATCACCCTGGGGAGCAGGGAGGTTGATACACTGATCACTGTGATCGGTTCCCCCTCTCTCCCCACACATTCCCCCTACCCTCATGGTATCGCTACTCCCATTGTTGTTCCTGAATGGTTTATCTGTCCTGGATTCCATGGATCCAGAGCTCTTATCTGTACCAGTGTACATGCTCTGATCTAGCTGGATTTGTAAGGTAGAACTGGATCATGATAGTGGGAGAGAGGAAGTTAAAGAACTAGACTAAAAAATTAATAATAAAATGAATAAATAAAAAGAACTAGACTAGAGGAATGTAGTATGTTTTGTCGGTGCTATACTGCACCCTGGCTGGCATGTTCTTTCCTCATGACCCTTCTCTACATATGAGCTTTGGGTCTCCACTCTGCTCCCCCACCACTCCTCGTTCCCATTGATATTATTGTTTGTTTTGAGTCTTCATATGCCTGATGCCTGATGTCTGATACTGATCCTTTGGACACCTCGTGGTCACATGACTTGATGTGCTTCTTCCATGTGGGCTTTGTTGCTTCCCAGCTACTTGGCCACTTGTTGATCTTCAAGATTTTAAGACCCCAGATGCTATATCTTTTAATTGTCGGTCACCATCAGCTTTCTTCACCACATTTGCTTATGTACCCATTTTGTCTTCAGCAATCATGTTGGGAAGGTGAGCATCACAAAATACCAGGTTATTAGAACAAAGTGTTTTTGCATTGAGGGAGTACTTGAGTGGAGGCCCAATGTCTGCCTGCTACCTTAATACTTAACATATAAGTATATGTACATAGATCTATTTCCCTATCTTTATATATAAATATATTTGCATATATACATGCTGCATTTAGAACTCTATAAATGTCCTTTGCCTCCTTGTTCTTTCCTCTATTTACTTTTACTTTTCTCTTGTCCCACTATCATGTTCAACCTTCATTCGGCTTTCAGTAATTCTATGCACTTGATCAAACCTGACCAGGCATTCTGCAGCCTCCTCTCCATCGATTTTAGATCACTTGTTGTTTCCTTGTTCCTAGATTTGTTGGCTCCCTCCTACCTTTCCCCCACCTCACTCTCTCCCATGTCCCCCTGGAACTGTTGGTCCCATTGTTTTCTCCTTGGGATTATTTATCCTGCATATCTTATATAGAGAGACATTAAAATTTTTTAAAGCCTATAAATAGTTCCAGCTCTATCTGTTGACCTTTATACATGCTTTCTGATCAAATCTGATGAGATGCCAAGCCCTGCCCCTGAAGTATATTTTTGGGATGCTTTGGGCACTGTATTGCTTTGCTCCCCTTGCTGTTCTGTTGCACTCCCTTTGTGTTTCACCCTTGGGTGGGGGGCTGTGGGGTGGCGTGTAAGACAGAGCACAATTCCCACACTGTGTCTCCAGTGTTGTTCCCCATAGTGCTGTAGGTCAATGAGGGGACCCTGTGTCTCGTGGTGGGGTCGACTCTATGGTCCTTCCTGTGCATGGGCTGCTCTGAGCAAGAATACTGTCTTCAGGGTTTGGTGGGACAGGAAGCGTTCCACATTCTCTCACTCTCTCCTTCCCTCTCAGTTTGCTCCCATGTGTTCTGAGCAGACACACCCCTCTCCACAAGCTGAATCTTCAGTGCTGTCCTTTGTAGTGCATTCTTCTGGGGACAGGGCCCACAGAGCTTGGATTGGGGCCCACCATGCATACCTCTCTGTTGGCTCACTGCTTCCTGCCAGGATGTTGCTTTCAAGTCTTGGTGCACTAGGCTCAGGTCTGTTGCAGGAACAAATTCAAGGTGTCTGTTTGTGCATCGTTATGGTCCATAAAAGAAAAGTTAATCAAATTGTATTGGGCAAAATGACTTAACCATATACATCTAGTGAAGCACCAAATTTAGGTCCTGGAGAGTAAGATCAAAGAATTTAACTAAGATCAAAAGTACAGTGTATGCAGTATTTTTCTCAAAAATATTGTGTTTGTCACCTTAAATAAGTATATTCAGAATGAACCTAACATGTAAAAAATTTCAAGTGACCTTAGTGTAATGTAAGCTCTTCCATTCTCATTTTTGCACCTGTGATTTTTTTCATTTCTTCAGATGATGCCAGTGCCTCACCTGAGCCTCTCACTCCTGATGGTGTAATCCTCAACCAGATTCTTAATGAAACTCTCAAGGACACCAAAATGCCTACAGAGGTAGGAGGTTTGGAGAGTTCACAGAGCTCAAGTTTAGGTTAGTCAAACAAGAAAAGGGAGGGACTGGACTGGCCATGCAAAATTATAATGTTGCATTCTTAGTACTCTCATTAGTCACTATTCTCCATTCTCCCCAGGGACTGAAGGTGGGCGGAGGGGGATAGATTAAAAGTTATTCAAAAGTGGAAAGAATTTCAAGAAGCAACTACATTATAAGCTCCTGTAAGGCAGGGGTCACTTTCATCCCAACATCTAACAGAATTTTATATATAGTAGGTACTCATCAAGCATTAGAATCGATGGATGAATGAGTGACTCAATCAATAAACCAATCAAATCATCAATGAGGTTCTTCCACCACTGAAGTATAATCTCATGTTGATATTGTATCTTCACTGTTTTCGGCATGAGCCAGTTATGTGATTGTTTGTTATGTGCCAGCAAGTCAATAACAATAGGGTATCAAAATTGTCAAAAGCCTATTGTGTCAAAATGGGGGTGGGGGGTGTTCAAAGGCAAAAGGAAGTGCTAGTCACTTTGAGTGGAAAGAAACTTCAGAAAAAGAAAATTATTATAGAATTCAATTTGAAAAAGACTTGAATCTATAGGACAATAGACTCAAGAAACATCAAGGCCAATGGGCATAACATAATCCACAAAAACAATATTATGCAGCCTACTTTGGTGAGTAGGTTCTATTGTCTTAAAACTATTACACCACCGTTTGAGGTGCAACAAATGTTCTCTCCCATCCAGAGCCAAGAAGAGCAAAAAAAATCAAAAACACATGGACTAATGGGCCACGTGAACAATATCGTCCACAGCCTTGAGACCAGAAAACCTAAATGGAGCCTGGATACCCCTTTCTATGTCTCTGAACAGGATCACCACAGTAGGAAGTCCTGGATAGAATGGGAGAAAAAAGTGTAACAGAAATCAAAATCATAAAATAGACCAGACCTATGGGTCAAATAGAGACTAATGGAACCTGGGAGACTATGCCACTTAGTTACCTTTCAGGCCTGAAATTAAACTCATCCCTGGGGCTCAAGTTTTAGCCACAAAATAGGTTAATAAGGTAAACAGTCACCAGGAGATCTGAAACCCATAGAGCAATCCACCACACGAGGCCAACGAGTCAAGACCCACCTAGGCCTGAAGCTCAGGAGACTGGAAGGACTAGGGAATAGGCAAGGGGGACAGGGAGCCCAGAAGAGGGCTAGTCCATTTGGGAGGATTGTACTCAATGTCAGGAAACAAAATACGTATGAATTTTTTCAAGGAAAATCAATTTGCTCTGTAAATTTTCACCAAAATCCTAATTGTGTCGAAGTTTTAAAGGACAGTAAATGAAATATGTTGCCCATGTTAAAAGCCAGGGACAGTGTTATGATTGAATTGTACCCCCCAATACATATGTGGTAGAAATCCTAACCTCGATGCCTGCGATGAGGCCCTTGGTGTCATGGTGGTGAAGCCCTAAGCTACTCACCAAAAGATGCTTGCTTCAGGAAAGATGGACAGGCTTATAAACCCTGCTCAGTCCTATGGGGTCGCTATGAGTCCTGATCAACTCCAGGGTCATAAATTTGATTCGGTGTTTTGCCTATGGTTCTAATCACACTGGGAATTGATACTCTATTATACTAGTGAAGCAGGATTAGGGTTAAACTCACTCCCCTTGAGTCAATTCTGGCTCATAGTGACTTTATAGGACCGGGTAGAAGTGCCCTATGCGTTTCTGAAACTATCCTTGTGAACAGAAGTCGAGAGCCTCCTCTTTCTCCAGAGGAGCACCTGCTGGTCTCTAACTGCCGACCTGGCAGTTAGCAGCCCAGGCCTCCGAGGATTCGGGCAGGGTGTATAAAAAGATTTTTTTCTTTTTAGAAAGAAAGATAAAGATTTCAAAATTTTGGTCCAGACACCCAGGGCAAAAGCAAAGGAATGCATAGTTGTGGTAGCGGGAGGAGAGGTAGCAGCTTCCTGAGGTGGGAAGGGTGGACCGGGGAGTTGGGAATCAGAATCAGGGTCTTCCCATTCTTACATCAAGATCTACTACCCCCCACTCCTCGCCCCCGTATCTGTGAAACTGTTTCTCCATCCCTTTCCCGTTTGGGGCTGAACCTCTCTTCAAGGTACAAGTCAACACCAGTCGAATGGCAGGGAGCTCAGTCTCACCAGCTGTATGTGAAATTCACAGATCAGATATACCACATACATTGTTTAAGACATGTTATCTGGACTTTTTAAAATCATTTTATTAGGGGCTCATACAACTCTTATCACAAGCCATACACACATCCATTGTGTCCAGCACATTTGTACATTTGTTGCCATCATCATTCTCAAAACATTTTCTGTCTACTTGAGCCCTTGAAATCAGCTCCTCATTTTTCCCCTCCCTCCCTGCTCCCCACCATGAACCCTTGATAATTTATGTTATTATTATTTTGTCATATATTACACTATCCACCATCTCCCTTCACCCACTTTGTCATCTGAACTTTTTAAAGATGAGCTGACTGCCAGGTTTGTTCACCTCTTACCATGAACCCAGAATCATTGTCATTGTGATTCTGCAGTGAAAGTCAATCCCTACTTTATGGTACCCTGAGTACAACAGAATGAAATGCTGCCCGGTACTGCACCACCATCATAATTGTTGTGAATTCCACGGTTGCGATTCACAGGGTTTTCATTTCCTGATGCTCAGAGTGGATCGTCAGGCCCATCAGCCTAATCCGTCTTAGTGTGGAGGATCCCTGGAAAGCTGGTCATCAGCCTTGTCGCTGTAGTTGAGTACCATGGAGTCAAATTCATCTTTGCAAAGCCCTCTCATAACACCAAGAAGTGACCCTCAGTCACATGTCTTTACTGAGGGCTTTGTGCATAAAAGCCTTTCTGCTTTCTGCTTTGGGCATTTAATGAAGAGTGAGAGCCATACGTGATCCAAGAAGATTATTTGTGGGGTGGCAAGATTTGCATATAAAAAGACTCTGGGTGTGTATATGATAGGTGTCAAGTGAACAATTCAGTCATTAAGCAATGCTAAGTGGTAGACTGCTAACCATAAGTTAGAGGTTTATATGCACCAGCCAATCCACAGGACAATGAGAAGGCTGACTGCTTCTTCAGTCTTCCTTATTCCTTGTCCCATTTTTACAAGGGTATGAGGACGCCCCATACTGAGGTTCAAGGTGTATTTTTTAATAAATGACCAAAAATGTTACTGCTAAGCAAGTATCAGTAGCCTATTGTATATGACTGCATAGCTTCTGTGAACACAATCAAAGCTGGAGGCTGCTCTGTTGTCCCGTACATGAGGGAGAAGAGGAATCCATCGAGAACCACCCAGTTATAAGTGCTTCCAGCACAGTACACTGAATATTGGACTGCTAACTTCAATGTCAGTGGTCCAAACCCACAGCTGCTCTGTGGAAGAAAGATGAGGCTGTCTTCTCCCATAAAGATTTATAGTCTTAGAAACCCAATGAAACAGTTCTATTTTATCCTAAAGATTGCTATGCGTCACAATCAACTCAATGGTGGTAGTTTGGTTTTACCACAGTTGAGTTCTGTCTTTCATTGTATTTTCCTTTGTTTATTCTTGTCTTTCAGCTTCCTCGGTAATAATTTCACTATGAGAGACCATAATATTATTTCAGTCCATTTTTTATGGAATTTAAAAAAAAGTATGCAGATCTCAGAATCATCTGAGTACCTGAATCTGCCAAGCCCCAAACTCCAGGCTTGTTCTGGGTCTGTATAGCCCATGTGAATTCAGACCAATGAGACAGCCCTGCTGGGTCCTAGATCAGAAGGCTAGGAGAAGGGCCCCCTGTGACCTTTTCTCATCCAAGGCAAATCGAGATCCTCAGAACAGGGCTTCTATTCTCAGCCATCCCAATGTGTAACTGCACAGGTGGCCTAAAGATGCCATTCCTTATGAAAGGGATTTCAAACTCTCTAATTTCAAAAAGAAGTCCAAGCATAAGTCATCTCATTAAATTATTACAGGCTTTTCTCTTAAATGGATTAAATTAAATAATGTGTCCAAACTCACAGGCTATTTTGTCTAACCCAATCCTCATTAAAGAGCATTGTAAAGGCAAGGAGATGGGACAGTCTTCGTGATGCACCAGCAATGCGTTTGTGTATGACTCCACAGAGTACATGGTCATAAAACGACAACGTTCCCAAGGACTGTAGATAAGTAGCTCAATGGAGCTGTGATACTTCATTTCTGAAGAAAATTCAGAACCATTTCTAAGTTAAGAGGACCTTTATCAAAAGGCACCGGAGCCATCATAGTCTACTTCTTGAAGCAATGTCAATAAATATTGCATATTATAACCATTTACTTGTGGTTTGTAATAATGGGCATCATTTTGTTCCTAACTCAGGGAAGAGAAACTGAATTTGATAATGTATTTGGGGATTCACTGGAGCAGAAAGTGGGGCTCAGCATCACTCTGGCAAGTGAAAGGTTCAAGGGGGACCTCACGAATTCCCAGTCCCCATATTACCATCAGCTAGCAGCCAAGACTCAATTACAGGTAAGTGAATATACCCCAAATAACCACAGAATCTGGGGCCAAAAGTATATGCATACATTTTCCAGTATCTTATAACCTGGCAATTATTTATAAAACCATTATGAAACAAGCAAAAACTACTATAGGTTCCAAAGTGTTAAGGCAAAAAAAATATCTGAGAAATTTCTCACCAATATTTCATTTTTAAAAATCATTTACATTTCTATTTTATTCAAATATTGCTACATTTTCGTATCTCATTTACCAAAGCCACTGGGTTCATGTTCTATATGTCTAAGATGAGCATGTAGGCCCCAAACAGAGAACACAATGAATTGAAGTATTTAATCCACAATGGATTTTGAAATTCGTAACATTTATCTTTGCTAACATCTCCATGTTTGCTGCTTGATGCCATTTAAATGCATGACAATGTTTCCTGGGTAACTGGAAGGCCGTTGTATTATCCCTGCATCAATTGCCAGGCAAAGGGACTTTCTCAAGATGGCTTTTCATTGCAGAAGGGCTGTGGGGAGGAGATAAGCCAGTCAGGGTGCAGTGTAGCAACAATGAAACATACAACTTTCCTCTAGTTCCTAAATGCTTCCTCCCCACACTATCATGATCCCAATTCTACCTTACAAATCTGGCTGGACCGGAGGATGTACACTGGTACAGATAGGAACTGGAAACACAGGGAATCCAGGACAGATAAACCCCTCAGGACCAATGGTGAGAGTGGTGATA